TTTTTTTTTTTTTTTTTTTTTTTTTTTTTGTTTAATCCAACTCTGACCTGTTAACTGTAGGGCTCGGCTAATTGGATTCACGGCTGTAAAATATGCGTACCAAAAGGAACGAACAACGGTAGGCAAGGGAAAAAAGCGCAGAAGAGAGCGTTGGTGACAACGGCACAGCTATACTCTGTCCCCTTTCCCCCCTCCCCCTACCTCCACCCTTCCCCTCCTTTGTACTATTTCTTCAAACAGCTTTTTAAACTAAACTAAATATGGCATTTTTGTGCTAGGACAAAAGCAAGGGAAATAACTTCCTCTCCTTTAAACTTTTATCAATCAAACTACGTTGGCAAAGTTGCTCATGCAGGTTTTTTTACGGTTATAATTTGCTAAACTCGAAATTCCAGAACCAGTTTACAAAAAAATATCCAACGGTACAACAGAGTTCTCCTATTCTTTCCTTCCTCGCTCTTTCTTTTGTCTTTTCTTTTGTTGCTGTCTTCTTGAAAGATCAACACCAACAGTAGCAAGAAATAAGGACGAAAAAATAATGAAAGACAAGGAAGCAGAATGAAAAAAAAAATGGATTTAAATGGTAAATAACTGTGCTGAAAAGAAAAAAAAAAAGCTACTTTTTTCTCCTGGTTTTAAACAGTCATCTTTGCAAACGTTCATTTTCCAATTTTTCCAACAGTACACCACTAATAATTGTTCAGAGATGAATTGAAAGTGAAAAAAAAAAGTTGACTTACGTGTTCAGCAAAATATTATTGTTGATATAAATAAAATGCTAAAAAATTTTCATTATACTTTTTTTTTTTTTTTTCAAAATACGCAAAAAGAAAAAGTGAACTAAAGGAAAGAACAAAGTGCTATCATTTTTGCTAAGATAATAGTTATTCCGAAAATAGGCTTGAATTTCTTGCTTGAAATAACATATACACAGACTAGTTTTGCAGCGTTAGCAGCAACAACTGTGACTGCAACAACACTGGTAAATTAGATGGTGGTAACTAAATACCAAAAAAGTAGAGTACGTTCTGTTCAATACTAACCATTTGGAGAAGAGAGATTCACCAGTGATTGTAAATTCAAACATGAACAACCAAAGTGTCAGGACTAGTCAAATCAGCTAAAAAAAAAATTAAGATTCCATATTGTGGAGGAATAGCAACTCTGCAGTGATTGAAACAGTGAAACCTGTCGGGAAGTTTCGCTTGGAAACACCGGTGAGCAGCACTCTTCACATACCCGCTATTCTCCCCCCAGTTAGTCGATTGCTGGGCATAAGGCCAATGTACATCACCAGCATCACCACCACCACCACCATCATCATCATCGTCGTCGTCGTCGTCGTCATCGTCATCATCATCATCATCATCATCGTCATCATCATCATCATCATCATCATCATCATCATCATCACCGGCGATGTACCGACATTGTTCAGGGCTGAGCGATCGTGTGTGTGTGTGTGTGTGTGCCCTATTCTCTTCACAGCACAGTTTTTCATTCGCATTGCTTAGCGCTTTTTCAAGTAGGAAGAAAGAATAAAGAATTAGATAAATAAAATAACATTGTACTAACGCTTTTGATAGTAGAAGAAAATCTTTTAACGCTTCTTTAC